CTTTTCTGCATATTCACAGCAGACCACACAAAGCATCCTATTAGGTCACCAAAAGCTGAGGAATACTACTGATAAACTGACTGCCTGTTCTGACTAAACTTTACCCACTGAAATAACCAGGGTAGCAGGGGAGTGGCTACCTTAGAGGTAATAGGGCAAATGTACTAGAGCAGATTCACATGCCAGTCTGAAAGCCTTCAAGTGGATGGTTTAAAAACCCAGGTAGCAGTGTGCTCACAATTCAGATTTTGCTTAACTACTTCAGTACAAGAAAAGTTAGCAGAATATAAAAAAATAATTTTGATGAAGTTCTGCACAAGCTTTCTGCAATTACCAAATAAAGTGCCTCTACAGCTTCTGCCTTACAACTGAACCAAGGTTATTATCAATTTGCTCTTGATATAAGAAAGCAATTTTCATGTACTTACATCTGCTCTCAGAAGGAAGAGAAAATGGTTTGTGAAGTTGCCATTAGCATACGAAAGCAGCAACATCTGCTGGGAGTTTTAAGAGGCTTATTGCTGTCACTTAATCAGCACCACAGGCTACAGTTGGCCACTTCTGCCCTTGTCAGCACTCAAGGTATGGTTTCAAGAGATGAGGGGATAATTTGACCACACAACAGTTCCTGCAAGATTTCTGTATCTACAAAAAAAGTTCTACTCTTACTTAGCTCAGGATAGGTAATCCACCTATGCTGACTCCTCCTTGCAAAAAAACTGTAAATAGCATCATAGCTGAAGTCATTAATCCTTTCCTACCATACGTGACTTAAGTGAAGTGGCATTTCAACAAGCAAGACACAAAACCTAACAGCAAGTTCGCTTCCATGTGCTGTAGCTGTAGCACCATCTAGAGGATTTGAGCTAGAAATTCCTCACACAATGGGCAAAAAACCTGGGAAACTGCTCTCAAAAGTTCTGGGGAAAAAAGATAACCTTCACACAACAAAATATTTTGAGCAAATTTTCATTCTAACATTTAGCTACAGAGTAACTTTAAAATTGTTTCATACATGCCTACATGACATACAGTTTTTCTTAAATACTTTCTCGGTTTATGATATTTGGATTCATAGAGGTAACAGAAGATAATAACCGAAAAAACTTTATCAACAGTCAGATTGGGAAATATCTTGATCTTATCCACTCTGGGTCACATGCTTGCTATAAGACCTTTTTCAGGTGGAAAAAGGCAGGGCCTTTACTCTGTTTTCCTTAGTTTTCACCTTTTTAAAGGAGGTCTCTTAATAAAACCAAAGCCAAATTTCAATCAGGGAAAGGGAAGAGGTTTTTAATTGAATAATAGAGATCACATATTTTATTATATTTCACACATAGGAGGTGCTGACAACAACTCATTGCTCAGTGCAGAACTGTTAAAACAGGAGGAGATGGACAGGTACAGCCCTGGAGCCCTACTGATTATTTTTTCCATCCACAGACACCCTAAACCTCACTTTGACTACTTTCAGCTTGGCACAGTCTCCCCCATAACTTAACTCTGCCACTGCCATAAAATAACATTTTTGCTCCTGAAGCCTTCTGAGGATAGCAAAGTTCAATCCTTTTGTTACTTCTATGAAGCTCTGAGCCAGCTCCTTAGAGACTGAAAGACCAAGAACTAATTGAGAATATTCAGAATGTGATTGCTCCACAGACTTTGTGGGCAATAAATCCAAACTGTAGCTCCCGTTCATTGGTTGATATGTGACTGACCAGCAGCATGACTTATAGTGACACATCTGCATTAAAAATTCAAACTTTTGTACACCTGAACACAATTTGTATTTCTCTTTTTCTCAGTATTATGTCAAAATAATCACGTAATACCAAATAATCAGCCATTTATTTTAGACATGTGTAAGGGCTGTGTGCCTGTGAATGGACTCTAACCTTTCAGCTACTATGCCACATTTCCTTGGAGACTATTTGGCTAGAAATAACAGCATAGAGGAAAAAACTGAAAGAACCAACTCTATGGTCATCAACAGCATCACTGTTGGTCATGCATGAGTTCACTCCACTTTATAGGCCAACAAAACTGAAACCTTCTGGAGATATTCTACAGCATGGGCGAGGGAGCTATCGTAATAGCTGGCAGACCTTTACAGTTACTTGTAATCAAGATTACTGGTTATAAAAAGCAAAGTTCTTCCTGAATTGATTTACGTTATTTCATAATGGCTGGCACAAATCAAGATTGTTTACAGCACTTCAGTGTAGCTCAAGTCCCTCAGTGTACTTCACTCCCTCCCTACCTCTTCCTGGGTCTCCAGGTTCAAGCAGCTAGGAAGGAATGAAATTCTCGTGTACTGACCAGCAAAATCCTCTTCCTGGTTTCGACATAGAGAATTACATCTTCTGTCACAGCTTGGGGGAAAAAAAAAAAAAGAAAAAAAAAAGGAGAGAGACAGAATAGTTTTAAGTATTTTCCATCTTTCAGTTGATTTTTTTCTTCAATGTTAACTATAAATGCAGAAACACCAGACCACAAGTGCAAGCACCTGAAGTTTAAGCTTCTCACTTGCTACATTTACCAGCAAATACTTAAACTTATTCACACAGATAAGCATTTGCAAGACTCCAGTCCTAGATGATGAGGAGTTTCCAGTTCTCAAGAAGTATCACTCTGTTCCTAATACTGCACTCACTACTGTATAGCAAAAGAATAATTATGTTGCTTGGAATCTGAATTAATCAGTTAAATTTCAAGTAACTAAGAAAATATTTTCATTTGTAGTTATGAGTCTGAGACAAAGCCTATCTGAGTGTCTGTAAAAGTCTGCGTGTTTCAGTCTTTCATGCTGAGCATAAATAATGCTTCCAAGAATAATCCTGCATCATGCTAGCTGTCATTTTGGCTCCAGTTCAGTATTTTTTGCAAAGCTGAGCTGGTATTTTTATTGGTTTTAAAAAGACACGTAGGCATCTTGCATCCATGAAGGAAAACAGTGGTCTTGAAAGAAGCCTTAGAAAATTAAAAAAATAGCAACAGGGCTACAGAGTAAGTGGAAAAACTCCTCCTCCTCTTTCTTTTAAATCCCTGGAATTGCCAGGCCAGTAACTGGGGGTAGGATCACCGCCATCACATATATTATGTTATCCTACAATGTGCTGACTTTATATGGACTGTAATAGCAAGGATCACTGCTGTGACCACCACCAACAGTAGGACCAGGTTTATATTGTATAATCTATAAGTTTTCATTTAAGAGCATCTACTGATGGTATTAAAACAAAATTGCCCAGCAGATGCTCTGGTCAGATTCAATAATCATGCACAAGTGCTTCCAATTGTTAAAAAAAAAAAGAAAAAATATATGTAAAGATACCTCATTTCCAAAAATTCAGAACACCATACTTCTTACTGTAACAAAACTGCACAGATGTATCAATGTAAATTTCACTGCTGGCTAAACTGTTCACAGGTGAAAACAATTCACGCAGCTGATGCAGTGATTCATATGGACCAGTATCAGCTGTAGGCATAGTGCTCTTGATTACCTTCCATAGCATGTCATAGGATGTTGGGTTAGCTTCTAATATAGCAGCTTTTGAAATAAATATACTGGAATTTCTGATAATTTCTCCCTTCCATCATAAGCCAGATTTTCCATTCAGTTATACTTATCTGAATACACAGCAACTTCAACACTTCTGATTTATGCTGGCCCCTGCCAGTCTGAAACTTAATAAATGCCTAGAATAATATTGTTGCAATAGATAGGGCAATCCCACACACTGAAGTTATTTTCTCTCCAACATAGGGCCATAAACTGCATTAAATTATGTGCTGATATACTGTTGCAAGTTTCAAATACAATTGGGTCCTTAAAGAGTTGCAGATTAATAACTAGCTTGTCTTAAGACCTCTCTGTTTAAAAAAAAGGGGGGGCTGCTAGCTTCCCAAAACACCAAACTTCGTAAACTTGCCAACTCTTTAGAGCAGAGCAGCTAAAAGTCACTCCAGTGACAAGAACACAAGAAGCTTCACATACAACACAGAAGACTTGGCAACACCAGCCCCCTTCTCTTAAAAAGGCATGTAAGAGTCTTTTAAATGTATCAGTATTATTTACTGTGTGCATGGAGAAAAATGGCTCTTCAACTGTCTTGCACGTAAAGTTTGTTCCCCTACTATTTTGGTAAAGAAGAATAGAAACACTCAGGAAACTTATTTATACCACAGCATTGTAAGAGTGGCTTACACCCATTTGAAAAGTCTAGTAAGCTATGACCACTCATGACACTTCTTATGAAGATGATTTATCTATCTATACACAGTAATCACAGTACAGTTAAACTGGAAAGGTTCTACTGGTGAAAAACAAGCTCTGCACACCCACGCAATATTTTTTTTCCACACTTGTGGAAAAAAAAGAGCAGACAAGGCAATGCTTGCACACAGGGAGAAGCAAAATACTTTTTTCTGACAGCAGCAGCTAAACTAGTTATCTTTAGGATTCGGTCAGTATCATCCTCAGCTTTAAAATAAAATAAACCCTCTACTACAACAACGAAGGCAGCTTGGGTTCATTTTACCTCACCTACCAGCCAGAGTCCATCAACAGAGCTGAGCCACAAGACTGTCCAAAGCAGAAATGACACTAATAGCCGTAGGCCCCTTGAAAGCGCTAATAAGCCCTCACTGCCCTGACCAGCCCCACCTGGGGCCTCCCCTCACGCCCTCCGCGCTCCGCTTAAGCGCGGGCCTGGGCTCTCGCTGCCCCCTCAGGCCGTGCTGCAGGTGCCCTTATCCTCGGCCCTAAGGGGCTTCTCTCCTGCCCGCCCCTCGGGCGTGAGCTGTGGGGTCCCAGCACAGACCTCGGACCCCCACTGCGCCCACCGGCCCCGGGTGGGTGGTCGCAGCCCGCCGTGAGGCGGCACCGTCCCGGTCCCGGTCCCGTCGCCGTCCCCTCAGGGGCCGCGCTCGGCCCGCGCTGCCGCTCCCCGCCGTCACTTCCGCCGCTCCATAGCAACGGCGGCGGCGGCGAGGCCATGGTAATGGCGCCGCTCCCGCCCGCCGCCCCCGGCGATGAGAGGGGGAACGGGGCGGCCGGCGGCGCTGGGGAGCGGGCGGGGGGGGAGCAGAGGGCAGAGGCTCCGGGGCTGCTTTCGGGCACGGCGACCCCGCGGCCTCCTCACGGGGGCCCGCGGTCGCCGCGGGGCGGAGCTGTGGCGGTTGCGCGGGTGCTGTGGTGTCCTCTCTCCTCACAGGCTGAGGTGGAGGAAACCCTAAAGAGGATTCAAGCCCACAGAGGGGTTGTCGCGACTATGGTTGTGAACGCCGAAGGTAAAAAACCTCCTCCGCGTCCTCCAAGTAACGAGCTTGGTAGTGGCAACGGGCGTACTAACTCCTAAGCGCAAAATTGCAGGTTATGAGGTGTTAACGCAATCCGCTTGCGATGTTTTATGGAAGGTGGCGTGATTTTCAAGAATGGGTGTTTCATCTTAAGACACGAACATTTGGGTTGTGGCCATTTCTTGAAGCTCCCCATATGATGTAGGTTTTCATTCAAGTTAATGGAAAGCAGAAAAGTCGAGAGCGTTGACATAAGTCTTCTCTGAAGAGATAACAAGAAGCATCACAATCTTCATTTAAGTTAAGGAGTCCCACGTTGTTACTTCACCCCCTTGTTTAACCAAACTATGCTTTATTTTTCAGAACGAGATCTTGAACGTCTCTGGGTAGGTTACAGAAAGGGAGAACGCGTGGCACTAAGCTGTTGCTTCTGCAGGCATTTTTAGTCCAAAATTCTTTGTATATGCAAGAAAATTCAATAGCACTTCACTCCCCCCACCTCTTCCTTGCAAAAGTTACAACAGAACAAAAACATCAGGAGAAAAGTATCTAATAAACAAAGCTGGTCTTCTACTGTGGGAGCCATTCCTTGGCCCTGCTAAATATTCACAAGTTCATTAAACTGTGTTATGGTGTGTTGTCATAGGAGGAAGAACAAGTTTCCCATCAGTCCAGCTTTGTCTGTGATCCTGAAGATTGGTCACAGAAATCAGTTTTCAGAAGCTAGGCTTCTCAGGTTAATCCATTTTAATCATTCCTTTAGAAAAAAGACAGCTTGCTCAGTTTACCTTGCCCATAATTTAGTTGACCTCCTTCACTTTTACACCACCCCCCCACCACCACCACCCCCAATCTATTGTAGTAGCAGCAGTTTAGCAACAGGAGGAAAGAACACTGAGAAGGAAACCCAAATGTTAGTCTTTAGAAAATGCGGACAATTTAATTTGTGTGCCTGGACATGTTAAGCAAAATACGTCTTTGTTCACAGAATAGATGGTGCAGGTCAAGAGGGAAGTGCATAGCCTGGCAAATAGAAACTGAAAAGCTGCTTCGTGCCAACGCACGCTCATGTCTAGATATGGCTGTTCACCAAGCTGAAATGCAGTCAGGTTTCAGAAAAAGTACCATTTTGGCCATTTCTGTATTCTGTTTCAGCAAGTAGAATGTGACTTGATCCAATGAGCACTTGGACTAAGCTGCAAATGAGAAGTGAATAAAATCAAGCACTTAGGTAACACAAATGATCCTTTTTGAGCTTGTGGATGGATACATTTCTCAAGGCAAAAACAGCAATGTAATCTAATAGAAAAATAACCCAATTTTCTTATGTTCTGTTACTTACAAAACTTGACTTTTTGGCACAATGTTGGTCAAGTAAGCTTCCTAATCAGGTGTACTACTGCAGTCCATCTTTACCTGTGGTCATTCTATGGTATTGAGAGAAAGCTCAGATATAGCTGTGCAGAGTTAGGACAACAGCATGATTTTTAAAAGGCTGTTTTGGATTCCTCTGTCTCAGTTTTGATTTGCAAAAGAGGAAGAACATTCCACTTCCCTTTTTTACACATGATTATTCATGGCAAGGTATGAAGTCCCTCCGTGTCCTGTCCAAACTTCCTCATCCGCACAAACCTGTAGAACATGTGGCCAGACTGTAGCCAATGGACAAGACTAGTGAAGGAATTTTCTGTTTAGTTTATCATTTAGAAATGTTTCAATGCCAGATGTGAACACAAGAGAGTCTCTACTCTGTGAGGATGCCTTCAAGGTACTGAGAAGTTAGATTCCACAAACTAAACTTCAAAGTAGGTGTGTAGCTGCAAGTTTTGGTAACATCTCCAAATATCTGTAATTAGCACTGGTCAATCTAATTACTTCAAATCTTTCTGCAGAAAATTAATTTCTCTCTATCCTGAAATGTTTCAAACAAGTGTACAATTTGAATTAATCACAGTGAAAATACTCAAACCAGTGGTGCGGTAGTGAGGTTTCTTAGGCTGTTCAGGTTCCCTAAAAAGATTAAACACTCTGTTCTTCACTAGCATAAACAGTTGTCTTTTACTAAGATTTTTGTAATAGTGTAGGTACACTTAGGTGTAATAGTATGCAGGTGAAATAGCAAATTAAAGATTCCCGATACAAATATTACCTGTCATTTATTTTAATGCTCAAAGTTGATTTGTTCATTGAAACACTGTGCTAAGTGTACCTTGTTTATTTGGAAAATCTCATAAACTGTTGCTAGCCTTCACAGTTGAGAAGGATCACGCTGCAGCATTTCTAATGAAGGATTTATTTGCCTTTCTCTAATTTGGGTGGCAGAGGCAAAGAGAATTTGTCCTAAAGTAAGCATAGCTCAGCTTTAATCTAAGGATGTCACTAGTGTCAACTCATTTTCATGTTATTATTAGACCTTGGAGGATCATTTAACATTTACCATTTTCATCAAAAGTGCTGTATTTGTTGAAGCAATGTTTTAGATACAAGGTCATATAAACTTGACACTAATTCATTGCTGCTTTTAAGTGACTTACTATTTAATGCTGTGATTATATAGATATTATCATGCTAATGCAGTGCTTGGGAACACCTGTTTGTTTCCATTAAAACATCAGTTTCAATCTGTGTAATAAACATTAGACATGAAGGGTGTACTGGGTCATTCTGTACACTTCTGTCATGAAATAGAGTGTTTTTGACTGCTTAAAGAATCACCTCCAGTGGTATTAGCAAAAATGATTTAATAGGAATTTATATAAAAGCATGACTTCACAGAATTTGATGGCAAGGTTCACTCTATTACTTAATAATGGATGAAATGCACAAAGGTAAACTAAGTTAGAATCAAATTAAAATTATGTATACCGAGACCGAAGACGCAATAGGGTAAAAGAGAAACATACAAAGAAAAATCGAGTTAGAACTGTGAATTGTACAGAGATAGGGAATGTGAAAAAGTAGGGGAGACCCTCCCGTTGAGTCACGAGGTTCAGAGGAGACCCCCTTGCTTTCTAAACTCCTGGCGGAGTCTAGGTGCAACTGGATCAACTCCTAGTCTCAGACTTGGGCAATGGTTTATATCTAAAGAGATTGTGAGTATAATAGCAGCCTGAGATTCATTCACAGTCGAATAAAGTTCATGACAGTAATTTAAGTATAGATTTGAAAAGCAATATGTGTAATATACTTGCTATAGAATATTCAGATTAGTACATACACATGCATAAAGACACTAAGAGGTACACATAATGAGATAAAAGAGGTATACCTGTTAAAAATTCCCCTCGAGTTCAGTGAAAATATTCACGTCAAATGCTTCGGCATCTTTCTCAAGGGGCGAAAGGTTGAGCCTCAAGGAGCAAAGAGCATCAGCCCAAGTCTCGTCAGCTTTTAGCAACAGACCTCCAATTTTTGCAAACTGAAGAGTTTGCGAGCTCTGAGAGGTGTCCCGCTCAGAGGGAGATGCTGGTCGCAGCCCGCTGAGGTCCAGGAGAGCTCAAAGGGTCTCACTTAGTACCGCCGTTTGTAGGTTTGGGAGATGACTGGCTTTAGTCATCAGCAAATTAATGAGAGTCCAGTTGTGCTGGTACCGTTAGGCATGAGTTACGATTCAGATAAGGAAGGCTCCAGGGCTTTCAGAGAATGACTGAAGATTCAGATACAGGGTGCTCCAAGGCTGTTAGGAGAGCACTGAGATATGTCCCAAGTTTGTCAGGAGTGAACTAATTATCTCTGCTCCCGTCCCCACCCTCCACCAGGCAGCAGGAGTCCTTGGTACGGTCAGTGCAGCTCTCTGTCTTAGCCATGCAAGAGTTCCTGGTACGGTCAAGGGATGCTTAACTGCCCAACTCATTACATTTATGCTAAGGCCTACCGAGCCTTCCCGAGTTTGTAGATAAGCCCGGAGAGGGGGAACAAATGCACCACCACAACTTCCCTAAACGACACATCCTACCAATGCAGAATTATTTCTCAAGTGACAGCACAGATTTCAAGTGATTCAAATAATGCTTTCCTAGGAAAATTATGGACTAGTCTAGTGTCTGAGGTGGTTCTATTATTTCTTTTACTCCTTTGCCTCTAATTCTTTACCTGGCATTCACTATATTGCATGTTAATTCTTCTTTCATAATCACACTCTTCAACTTAAGTCATATTATTCTATTTTTGTATTCCTGTCCTGTCCATCTGGAAGACACAGTACAAATGTATGCAAAGAGAAAATTGCCTTGTCAGCTTGTAATCTATTGTCTTTGTTAGTAGGTCAAATAAATTTTTTATTAGTGAAACAAGCTTATTAAAGCCAAACAGTTTTATACTTGTAGGATTACTGTGAACCCTGTTTTTAGTTTCACCTGGTAGCCTATTAATATAAAAAGCATAATTTGACAAATCATTGATAAACAAAGATTCATTAAATCATTGAAAATTAATCTTGACCTATGTGGTCCTATTTTCAATAATTGGGATCAATACACTGTGTACTACCAATTGTCAATATTTTGCCGCTGATTGGAAGGGATTGTTCCAAGCGTGGTTTTGCTTGCCAAATGCAAACATGAGGTTTCTGCCCTTTGATTGCTCTTGGTGGTTCACTGGGAATGTGTAATTTCTATCACTGCACATGCCGAATGCTACAGGTAAAGTGTGGGTTAGATTCTTGCAGCCAACATACAAACTCAAGGACAGTGTTTAAACTGATGAAGCACCATAACTGGTTAAGTACTGCAGAATGGAATTTGGTGGGTATTTAAGAGCCTTGAACAGCAAGTAGCCTCTTACAAAAGTTTCATAAGGCAACTCAATGTTTAATTGCCATTGATTAATATAAATTATACTCTAAAAAGCATATAGATACCTGAAATCAACATAACTTCTTTCTGCTACAAAACAGAAAAAATCTATGAAATCCTTGTTTTTTCTCTTATGATCTGCTGTATATGGAGAATATGCAACTTAACTGAATGATTATTAGAAAATTATTTATTTGCAGGAATTCCAATAAGAACAACTCTTGATAACTCTACAACTGTCCAGTATGCAGGTCTTCTTCATCAGCTCACCATGAAAGCTAGGAGCACAGTGAGAGATATTGATCCTCAGAATGATCTAACCTTTCTTAGGATCAGATCAAAGAAACACGAAATTATGGTAGCTCCAGGTAATATTTCTATTAAAATAACAATAGAATTGTATGTCCTTTTAAGTTTCTTTTAATTCTTCACAAATAGGGCTACCATAGAAAATGCATTTTGAAAATAATTATATGAAAATATAACCATATGTTCATAATGTAACCAGATGTGTTAGGATTTTAATGTACAGAGTTTATAGTATTGAAGCTTGGAGACAACAAAAAAAAGTCTAGATCTGATTAATGTTCTGGTTTCTGTGGGTTTTCACAAAGGAAAACCAGTCAAATATATATATCAAGTAGTAGTGTGTGTGTCTATATAGCATTAAAGACAGCAAATCCATTTTAGCTCCAAACAGATGCAAAAAAAAATTATTTTTTTTTCCTAAAAATTATTTTTTTACTTGGTATGTTGTCACAACTTCCTAGCCATAGGTGGGATTTGTCACCGATATGCAGTATTATCACCAACATAGTAACTGTGATATAATTATTTTCCTTAAAACAGCCAGGGGAATGTAGCAACCTGTTTCTCACTCATGTATTTATATTTAACATGCTAATTTGTTAGCTGTATCTCTAAAATGGATAACAAGGCCAGGTGAGCTGTAGTGAAGCGGTGGTCAATTACCAGTACAAGGTGAATCAGGCAAAGTGGCAGTGATTGGCTGGGGCCGAGATCCTAGTGTGTGCACTAGCTAATTGAGAGACTAATGGTATGCAGGATTTTGACAGAAATATCCAATGAAGGCATGCAGAACAGAAAGGAAGCTTCAGGGATGTCCTCAGCATAGCCACTGGGGAGGCCATTGGCTCTGAGCTTGTAGTGACAGACAGCCTTCACGGGGGTAGTCCCCCGATGCTGATTTCACAGCAAATGTAGAGCAGAGGTACTGCGCTAGGTATGCATTACCTCGCCTCCCTGGAATTATTTATAATGCTGCTATGAAACCAGTATGTGTGAAAGAAACCTGGCACTGTCATTAAGTGTTAACATTAGTCATCAGCTCATACTAAGATTAAAATTTTAGTTTCTATTTTGGAATGTTAACCTAATGCATTTTTTAAATCATGGTTTTTTGCTCATTGATTTAGACTGATGCACTTGATTCTTATTTTGCATTTGCCCTTCACTTATTTTTTAGAGGTGACTTTTTGAGTAGTTACTATTAAAGCATGTTGGCCTGAAAATAAGTGATATAAAATGTGAAGCTTTTTTGCTAACAGGGAGGTTAGTTGTTCAAAGGCTTGATTGTATTTTACTGTAATAGAAGGTGGCAAATGAACCACCTGTGATTTATATTAAGTTGCTTTTGGATGAAAGTGACAATGCAGGACTGCAGCTTCTTAACTCTCCCAAGCAGATTCGGCCCTACTAAATTCACTGGATACTTTCAAGAAATGTTTCATTCAAAACAGATGATGTTAAATAGCTATCCAACTGAATTGTTTCCAAAACTTCACTGGGCTTTTAGAATTAGTAGGCAAAGGCTGGCATGCTTAGAATTTATCCATAGTAAAAGTCTATTCAAATCTTTTCTGGTTTTTTCATGTCTAAATGGGGTTCTCAATTTTGAATAAACTAGTTAGTGAACTGAAAAGAGTTCTCTGCACCTGCAGAAGAGGCTGCAGATGTCAAAAGTTTTTTATTATAACAAGTGCTAGCTTCCAGGTGCTTATCTTGTGACTTTTTTCATCTTGTTTAAATATCTTTACAGCTTCTTGAAAGCAAATCTACTGCTTACTAAAATAGTTTTAATATGCTATAGTTAAGCTTTATGACACAGATTTTTTTTTTAAACTGTAATCCCAGATTTTTGTACAAAGTGCTTACGTTTTCTAAATGTTTTTTATATAAATGACATTGCTTTTGCTTATGTTTTATAAACAAATAAAAAGTTGGAGAGGAATAGATGAATAAAGACTATTTAGCAGGAGATAAGATAAAATATTTTAACTAAACATTTTTATATCTTTTTGCAGATAAGGAGTATCTCCTGATCGTTATTCAGAACCCATGCGAATAGTCCTACTGTGGTAATATTTTTAGAGACAGTGATGTAGTTCTACTTGTTAAACTAATATTACTTGTTGATATTTAATATCAAACATAGCACTAAGTAATTTTACATAAAGTGTAACTGTCATGACTGAAATGTTGCCAATTTAAAGTTCTCAGTTGTAGCTGTATCAATTTGTGTTTGAGCAAATCATAACACATGTATCAAAATATTGTATGTTTATCTTGATACTCAGAAGAGCAATAATAAAGCAAAATGCTTAAAATTCTCTTTAATGGATGTTCAAGCTATTCTTGCAATTAAATCATTCTCTTTACACTTCTAATGTTATGTTGGAAGAGAAATCATACCTCATGGGAAGTTGTAGATCATGTGTATAGATACATCTATAAATGTGTCCCTATGAACTAGAGTCACCACAGTTAACACGAATCAAAGTATACAAGCGTAGTTCATGTCAGTAATGATGGACTGGATATTGCCCTGTCTTTAACTCCTGGTTTTTAAGTTTTCTAAGGGAAGAAAAGTGAAAGAAAAGCTATCTTTTATTATTTTCCAATTTCTACGGATGGAAACAATAGCTTCATTTAATATTTTCACTACTGGGAATTGCAAGCAGACAAAGTTGAGCCTGCAGTCTAATGTAGAACTACTGTTAGTTTGTTGGTAGTGGTAAACAGTGCTTTTTGATAACTACACTACGGTGCTATCTGATAACTGCTTAAGCTTTTAGATCCAATACACAAGCCGTAAACCTTAGTGACATGGGACAACAGGTGGGTTAAAGCTCAGAATGTTTCCCAAATCAGATCCATGTTTATACAGTAGCACCGGAGATCCGATAGGTGTTGATGAGTGCCTTTAAAACAGATGCACTGATAAAAGGCTGCTGTAGGGTTAAGCTACCTACAAATCCATTCTGTTCAGAAGACAAGCTTTGTCAGTGCCTTGGGATGAGTCTCGTGGCTGATGTGCCCTCCTGGCTGTGGGAGGGCAGTGCAGAACTGGGTGCAGCACCCCTGCTCTGCCCGCACTGTATGCCTCGGGTGAGGGTAAGCACGGCTACAAGCTTTCCCCCTCATTATCCTGAAGTCATGCTAAGCTTTGCACTTGAGTATATGCGGAAACAGCATGAAAGCGCAGGGAGTTTGAGCTGACCCTGTGCTTGAAAAAATATCCAGTCATACTTGTACTACAAATCATCTCAGGTTCTGTAGATTATATATAAATTTTATCAATGAATTATTTAAACTTTAAAACTTCAGATTGTCTTCAGTTGATCACAAGAAGGGGTTTTTTTCTAGATATAGGAAGGAAGAACAACAGATGTGTGGGGTGGCTATGAGGATGAAAGGAAATGTTGAATACTGCTCAGGGATCTTTGTAGTACATCATATGAATTGTGGTTGAGGTTATGAAACTGATAAATCACTGAATGTCTCAGTGGATATGGAGTCAGCAATTTGCTATTAGGACTATGTTATGTATCATTCAAAACTTACACAAAGAAGAGTATCAAAGCCTGGTGGTATTTTTTTGCAAATCTGCTTGCTCTGACTTTGCTGGATAGCTTGGAAAGGCTGTATTTCACTGAAAAATCTGGGAGAGTTGGTCCTGCTCCTTGGAGCTGAAGGTATCTGAGCATTGAGATCTCAAAGGCTAGCAGCCAGATTCCACGCCCAAGCAGTGGGCAGTGGGGACCACGGAAGATTCAGTGCTGCTGCGCATTGAGAAGAAGCGAACCCAAAGGCACAGAGGCCCAGTGTGATGGAAATTAAGCATAGCAATTCAGCTGGGCCTGGCTATTCAAAATTTTAAGGATATATAAATCAATGGGACACTATTGCTGGCACTGTAGTCAGTGCTGTGCCAGAAGAATTTCCTTACCGCGGGAGGGTTTTTTAATTGTGCACCGGAAAACAACCATTTTAAGTTGTTTATAATGAACCAATATATTGACATGTGGCAATGTTTTAAAAAAACTAAATTTTTATTTGTTATCTTATCTTCTCTGCTTCTGTTGTGATAATTTTAAAAATCCAACCTACTTATTGCTATGCATTAGTGAACATTTATTCTACTAATATCCTGGCACATCAAACTCCTACCAATTCATAGCCTAGATTTTTCATTTCAGCACATACCCAAAACTATTGCTGAATTCCAACTACTATTAATGTGTATTTGGGGCTAATAGTTTTTTTTCCATAGTTTTCTCTTAACAGCATTAAATTCTGTGGAGGTTTCACTGTGTAAGTCCAGAAAACTGCCAGAATTACAGTCCCTGTTACACTTTTCTATTGTCAAAAATAATATCTGTGTTGCAATTTCCAGCATCATTGAAAAATGTCCTTCAGCCCAAAGAACACAGTAGTGCACTGCAAAGAGAAAAGCTTAGTCTCTGGCAATGTTCTTTCATTTTTGTCTTTCTGATACATGTGTTAGTTCCCTTTACAGACTTTAATCCAATATTTATTAAGCAGCTGATGATTGCTGTGGCTTGATAAAGCACTCAAAAAGACACTTAAGCCAAATCATTAAAATTAAACACATGCTAAATCATTTTGCTGAAAAGTGTTTTTATGTGGAAAAATGGCCTTAAGCAGATGCGTGTAGTTCTCCAAGGGTCAAATACTGCTCACAAATTAGTTTCTCTCCATGTTCCTATGAGAGGCATAGATGTAGATAAGAGGGCAAAGTTTGGTCCGTTTATAATGATGTGCGCAGTAACGAATGCTATGCAAACACATGGGCTGAGCTGTGCTTCTGCCAACTGCTCTTACCAGGGCAGTCTCTAATCGGGTTTCCTTGAAAGCACTGTAGTATCATACAATTTTGGCAACATCTTCACTAGGGAGCATAAATTGAAATACTCCATTTCATTCCCTGGTAATTTGTTCCTATTTTCTGTTAGCAAAAGCAGGCTGAACACGTGTAAACTTTTCTTTTAGTTCTTTCAGTAGGAAATGGAAGTAACAATAGTTAAGTCTCTAACAGTCCTAGTGGAAAACCCTGGTCAGCACACTGATCTGAACAAAGGTGGGCCGTTGAAAAGGAATGGAATCGTCCAGACAAAATACAGGGAAATAAATTTTTATTTGAGCACCACAAAAGTGTTACACCAAGTCATTTAAGCTGTCATTTACGTGAACCAGCAGCGATTTTACTAGTTAACAGTTAACTGGGGGGAGGTTGAGGAAAAAAGTAGCAGGAAAGAGATTCATTTCATAGATGATCATTTTGTCAAGGGAATGTTGAGAACGTCAAGAGTGGCTGTTGTTCATTGAAAGGCAGCGCTTGGGTTGAATTGTAACATGCTAGTTAGGCAATCAGCCAAGGAATAAATTATGTCAGTATCATGCATTTGGGGTCCTCAAAATAAACTAAAAGATAAAGTTCTTGGAAAGCCTCCCACTTTCAAAAGAAAGTACTTTGGATTTTCTTTAACATATAATTTTTCAAAATGCATGGACCCTCATGGGACAACAGCTTTGGCCAGCTGATTCAATCTGTATTTTGCTCATCTGTCAATAAAATACTTTTAAATATTTCATTTAATGCACATTCAGTGCATTTGACAGTCTGGCTTTCTGTGAAGTTACTTGGTTTCTTAGACATACAATTATCATTTAGTCCACATTACATAATGTATGTAGAAGTATCAAATGGTATATTTTTCAGTTATATTTTCAGCTGAACTCAAGATGTTTGTAGATCTGTGGTCTTATGTTTGTACATTATTTGAATAGAACTATGGGATACAATGAGAGTGATTCACAAACTGTGCAAGTGATAAAGCATTTGTAAGATAATGAACAGCTAACTTTGTCACTTGTGCAGACTTTCAGGAATTTATGTATTTGTATTTTGTCACGTCTGGTAAGGGCGTTCTTGTGACAGGATTCTTAGAAGGGAGTGTAATGGTGAGGAAGGTGGTATTAAATATTAAGTCAAATGGTCTGAAGTGGACAGTATCCATTTAGGATGTTAGTTCATCTAGGAAGCACTAAGATGTTAAATATGAAGTTCCACTGCCGATAAATGAATTATCAGACTGTGTACTTTTTCATGGATTAATCGTACTTGCCAACATAATTTCAGTGAGAAGTTCCTCGGATTTACTGATGACACAAGGCTTTGTATACAGCAGTATTATATATATGATGGGAATATATACATGTATATATATGTATATAAAGCACGTATATATAATTACTGTTAACTTTCTGAGAGGTGTTTTTCGCACCACACTGGATTCTCTGAAGAAACTATCTGATTGTAAGTGTTAATGATAGTGAACCTGAAAAGGGCAGATTAGTAAAATACCACAATCATCTGAAAATGCAGTTAGGAATTAATATTATTTTTAAGAGTTATTCAGTTAGTTTTGGAACTAAACAGTGACAGCAGCACTTTCAACACAGGGTTTCCCTAGCAAGAGAATCAATCCCAGTTCCACTGTCTCAACCCAGTAGGACACAAGTTCTGGGGTGGACCTCCAGAAAAGCCACAGTTTTCCTAAAAAAATTGGTGTCATCCATTTAATTATGTTTTAATTATTAAATTACAATCTAGAGACAGCAAGACAATTTGCCTATTGATTTTTCAAATCTCAGGCAGCTAAATTAGAGTAGCCAGGAGAATTCCAAGTTTGTGTTCCCTTTGCCTGGCACCTGAACAAATTAGATCTCTCAGTTTGTAGAAAAATTAGGTCATAACAAGGTTCACTGCGGGACTTCACAGCATCCATGGGAGAAAGGAAGGCCGATGCTTGGAGAGAAAGCCTAGAATGTCCTAAGTTAATTAAGCATAACAGCAGAGGTACATTGTATATCTGTTCAGACCATGGCATTGATTTGAATCTCTCTGAATTTCAGGACATTCACATTTGGAGACACAGTGGGACTAGAAACAGACCCCTGTAAAAAATGCAGTGACTAGCAGGAAATTAAAGGCCACAAGGAGATCTGAACCAATTCCTTGAGCTTTGCAGACAATCTGAGAGA